ATGGGGGGATGAGGGATGGGTGGGTGGGTGGATGGATGGATGGATGGATGATGGATGATGGATGGATGGATGGATGGATGATGGATGGATGGATGGATGGATGGATGGATGATGGATGGATGGACGGATCCATGGATGGATGGATGATGGATGATGGACGGATGGACAGATCCATGGATGGATGGATGATGGATGGACGGATCCATGGATCCATGTATATCTCCCCCACCTGAAGCAGGGACATGAAATAATTCCAAGGATTTGCTTGGGGACAATCCCCCACAGATCCTTGGATGCTGGTCCTGGAAGGTTCCAGCCCCTACAGGATGATGCTGAGAAGGTCCTGGAAGGTGCAAACATCCATGGGATGATGCTGAGAAGGTTCTGGAAGGTTCCAGCACCCACGGGGTGATGCCCAGCAGGTCCTGGCAGGTTTCAGCCCCTACAGGATGATGCTGAGGGGGTCCTGGAAGGTTCCAGCCCCCACAGGATGATGCTGAGAAGGTCCTGGAAGGTTCCAGGCCCCACAGGATGATGCTGAGAAGGTCCTGGAAGGTTCCAGGCCCCACAGGATGATGCTGAGAAGGTCCTGGAAGGCGGTGGAGGGAGTCCAGAGGAAGCAGAGCCACATCCCCGTCAATCCAGGTGATCCACGGGATCCAGGGACCCTCCAGGTTGGGATTCTCAGCACCGGGAGAAGCGGCCGAGGCCTCGTGCAAGAGCTCCCAGAGCCCTGGGGACACGGCCAGGCCACCGCGGCCACCGGAGCGTGAGGTGGCACCAGGGAGGCGCCACTCGGTGTCACCTCGGCCACCTCCAGGACCCCCTGGGACAGGAGCGAAGGTCTGGGTGGGGAGAGGGGATTTTAATTGTGATTTTAATCTGGGTTTTAATTGGGATAAAGCGATCCAGGAGTGACATCACGGGCCTTGGCACCTCCAGGCCATGATGGAACCAGGGTGGAACCAGGATGGAATCGGGATGGAATCGGGATGGAACCAGGATGGAATCGGGATGGAATTGGGATTGAATCAGGATGGAATCAGGACAGAACCAGGATGGAATCAGGATGGAATCGGGATGGAACCCGGATGGAACCAGGATGGAACCGGGATGAAACCGGGATGGAATCATGATGGAACCAGGATGGAACCGGGATGAAACCGGGATGGAATCATGATGGAACCAGGATGGAACCGGGATGAAACCGGGATGGAATCATGATGGAACCAGGATGGAACCGGGATGGAATCATGATGGAACCAGGATGGAACCAGGATGGAATCGGGACAGAACCAGGATGGAATCAGGATGGAATCGGGACGGAACCAGGATGGAACCAGGATGGAACCAGGATGGAATCGGGATGGAATCGGGATGGAACCAGGATGGAACCAGGATGGAACCGGGATGGAATCATGATGGAATCATGATGGAACCAGGATGGAACCTGATTCCCGGGAAAATCCAGCACCCAGGGAGGGCTCGTGGAGCCCAAAGCCTCTCCTGGCATTGTCCCCACCACGGGGACACTCTGGATGTGCCCTGAGCGTGTCATCCTGACAAATCCCAGCGCTCCGGGGATCCCAAACTTTCCAGACAGGAGATTTCTGTCTCTCCCTGCTCCGGGAGATCTGGCACCCACAGCGAGGATCACCCCGAGCTGGGATCAGGGTTATAATTAACCCCCTGGATTAATGAGCTTTTCGAGGGTATTTGCACAGCTCCAGGGGGTGTAAATTCCGAATTTCGGTTCCTAATTAGCGAGCTGAGGCCAAACGGATCCCGGGGGAGTGGCTGTGATGTTCCCTGAACCACAACGGAGCCCCCAGCACTGCCTCCAACACCTTTACACCCCTGGGATGATCCCAGAAATCTTCCAGCCACCGGATTTATCCTATAATCCAAGCAGGTGAGGCATTAAAGGGAAAAAGCTGCTCCGGGGTCTGAGCGCTTCCCTAAAACACCCCCGAGTCGGGGTCTCAGAGCTCCTCAGGGATTCATCCCCCCGTGGGGTGCAGAAAGTGGAGGAAAAGGGTTTTTTTTACCAAATTGGGGGGGTTTTGCTGCAAATCTGAGGGCTGGGGGGGATTGGGCAGGACAAGGAGGGTTATCGAGCTGGTGGCAGCTGCCGAAAAGTGTTTTGGTGGAGGAAAAACGATGATTAAAGTGGGGAGAAAGAGTTTCCATCCCATCTTTCACGGCGAGGGAGGGGAAAATCTGAGCCAGGAAGGAGCAGCGAAATCCCACAGGAGGGCGGGGATGATGCTGGGAGCGGCAGGACAACAGGGATGGAAATGGAGATTTAAAACGGGGATTGAAATGGAGATTTAAAACTGGGATTGAAGGAGCTCTGGGAGCGGAGGGACAAACCCAGCCCTGGCTGGATTTTGGATCCCGGAGATCCCCTGGGAACGGCTGAGCTGGTGCGAGCAGCATCCCGAGCCCCGGCACGGGGAAAAGTCAAAGTTGAGCGCGGAGTTTCTGCCGGGCCTTTCTGCTTTTTATAGGTTGTTTAAACAAGGGACCAGTACAAACCAGCGGGGACTGGGGGAGGCAGGAGGAGCCAGCTGGGAAATAGGGGAAAGGTGGGGATGGGGCTCTGAGGGATTTTTGGGACCATCCAATTCTCAAACATCACCCACGAAACCCCAAAAGTTTTGTGCCCGGGCTCGGGGGGCACACGGGCAGCCCCCGGCCCCGCTGCCACCTCGCTGTCGCTGTCACCGCGGGGGTGACACAGAGCGAAAGTCCCGGTGCCGATGGGCGGAGGCTTTTCCGGTTCCAAAATGAGTGTGTGGAACGAGGAAGGATTGAAAGGACCCCCAAAAACGCGGCCCTCGGGGGGATGGATGGACACGGGGACCCCCCCCTGCAGGCCCAGAGCGCGACTGGGGCTCGGGGGATGCCACATCCGAGGGAAGGAACTCGCAGTTCCCATGGGATTGGGCTGCCCCAGGCCACAGCTGGGAATTAATTTGGGAATTTGATGCCCAGTTGGTGCTGGGGGCACTCAGGGCTGTCTGGCTCACAGGCCTGGCTTGCTCCCGCTGGGATTTTTGGGAAGAGGAGGGGAATTCGAGGGGTTAAAATGAACCCGGTTTCCCCCCAAATCCTTCTGGGTCCTGCCACTGCAGCCAGCCCTCTCTCTGCTGGGATGATCCCTGGCCCTTTGCACCGAAGCCTCCCAAAGTTTCCCAAATCCACTTTTTTGGGATGTCCCGAGTGCTCTGGGCTTGCAGGTGACCGGGAATGTTCGATATCCTGAAGGAGACCTGAGGCCTGCGCCCACCTCTGTCCCTCCTGGCCCCCAGATCTCCGCACACGTCAGGCTGACGCGGCCGGCTGGCAGCTGGGACGTGGAAAAGGGCCAGGATCGGGATGTCCGGACGGGTCACCCACGCTCCTTTCCCAGTCCGCGTCCCCAAGGATGCCCGTGGGGGTCCCCTGGGGGCACAGCCCGTGGTCTCATCCCGGCTTTCCTGCTCATCCCGAGCTTCCACGGTAATTCATTCCCTGGGAAACCTCAGAGCCGGCAGAGCTGGGAAAGCTGCTCTCATTAAAGGAGTAAAAACCCCGTGGATGGGACAGGGACAGGGACAGGGACAGGGACAGGGACAGGGACAGGGACAGGGACAGGGATGGGACAGGGATCCTCTGCCAGAGGATCCAGCTTGCTCTCCACGGGTGGCAGGGCTATCCAGGTGCACAGGGACACCCTGGAGGTGCCACCAGACTGGGGGTGCCACATGGAGGTGCCACCAGGCTGGAGATGGCACACGGAGGTGCCACCAGGCTGGAGATGCCGCTGGCAGGAGCCGTGGCCGTGTCTCGTCCCCTGCTGGGAGCGGGAAGGAGCCGGGGGCCGCGGTGCCACCCCAGCAGTGACAGTGACACTGCCATCAGGGGTGACCAGGCGCGCTGTCACCGCCACCACTACAACGCGCCAGTGCCGTGCCTCAGTTTCCCCCCTGCGCCCTGAGCTCAGCCCCAGCCCCCAAAGGCCCGGGGGTGGCGGGGAGGTGGCGGCGGGGCCGGGACAGGGCGGCTGCCACCCAGGCTGCACTTTTGGGTTAAAGCCGGGCGTTCCTCCCTGCACAGACACGAGTAAAAATAACCACCCCGAGCTCGGCGCAAACCACAGGGCTTTTTATAGCCCGCCATCCCGAGACGGCGGGGCGGGGGCCGAGGCTCCGCCGTGCCCAGAGCAGCCCGCCGGGCGCCGGCCCGGCCGCACCGGCCCCTCCCCGGGCCGGCCCCGCTCCCCCTGCCCGTGCGCCCCGACGGTGCGGACGGAGCCCCGGTGGAGCGGAACGGAGGAGACAGCGCTGCTGAGGTTTGTCACTGTCCCCTCGGCCCGGTCCCACCGGTCCCGGTCCCACCGGCTCCGGGACCACCGACCCGACCGTGCCGGACACGCACCTGGACAGCGGCGCTTCCTCCTCGCCCGCTCGGCCGCGGCTGCCCCGGCGCTGCAGAGGAGCCGGGGAGGCTCCGGTGCTGGTCCCGGTGCTGGTCCCGGTGCTGATCCCGGTGTCAGTCCCGGTGTCGGTCCCGGTGTCGGTCCCGGTCCCGTTCGTGTCCCCGGAGCTGCCGCCGCCTGACCGAGCAGTGCCGGTGACATTTGCATAACCCCGCCCATCCCGCCCGGATATTTGCATCTAGCAGCCCGACTGCTCTGCCATTGGCTAAAGGCGGGTGTGTATTTGCATAGACACGCCCCTGAAAGGGTGAGGGCGGGGTTAAGAGGAAGGGGCGGGGTTAAGAGGAAGGGGCGGGGCCAGGGAGGTTTCGGGGCGTGCGGAGATTGGGAGCACTGCGGGGTTTGGGGGGATTTCGGGGGATTTCGAGGGGATTTCTGGGGGTTTCGGGGGGATTTGGGGAAGCTGAGATGGGATTGGCGCTGGAGGGATCTGGGGGAGGATGGGATTCGGCAGGGAAGGGCTTGGATGAGTTTGTGGGAATGTGGGGGCAGGAATGGGGGCGAGGCTGGGGGGCCCAGGGGAATTGGGGTGGGGGGTTTGGAGAGGAGGACGTGGATGAGTTTGTGGGAATGTGGGGGCTGGAACAGGGGTGAGGATGAGGAGATCGGGGGGCTGGGATGGGGGATTTGGAGAGGAGGACACGGATGAGTTCGTGGGAATTTGGGGCCCTGGGATGGGGTGAAGTTCGGGGGGTCCCCGGGGGATGCTGAGCCCTCACCGTGGGGTTCGGGCAGGGCTGAGACGGAGATTTTGGGACGCAGTTTCAGGACCTGGCTCTGGGTTTGGGTCATGGCAGATCCCCAGGTGCCCCAGGTGGTTTTAGGGGACCCCCCCAGCACCGCCAGCCCCTTCAGCCACAGAGTTTTGGGGGGTGTCACTCTCTTGGTCCCCAATGTCACCGAGGGCTCAACAAAACCACGGTGAAAAAAAAAAGCCGCCCCAAATGGGGACACCCAAGGCACCCCTTCATTTTTATTTAATAACAAATAATAAAATAATTTAATAATAAATTAAATTTATTTAAATAGCGGGACCCCGACACCTCCGTGTCACCCTCCCGGCCCTGGCAGCACCGGGGACATCCCGAGCTGCCATTCCCTGTCCCCAGTCCCAGCCCGGGGAAGGTGGCAGGAAGCCGAGGATGAGGAGCAGGGGATGACGCCTGCGGATGTCCCAAAGTGACTTTGTTGGACAAAAGGGGGACAGATGCTGCTGGTGACAGAGCCGAGGACAGTCCGGGGCCGAGGACAGGGAATAACGGAGCTGGAAGTCGGAATTCCCGGCGGGAATGTGCGGAGGAGCCGGGCTGGAGGAGCCGCTTTGCTCCAGAACTCGGGGGATGCTCTGACCCCAAAATCAGCTCTGCCCAACCCGCACCCCCCTCGTGTCCTGTCCTGACCTCTGCCCTGCTGGTGACAAACCCTGGAGCCACGGGGGTCACCAGGACACGCGGTGGGTGCCGTGTGGGACATCCTGACCCTTCCAGCCCCTCGGGAATGTGCAGGGATTCCCGGGATCCCATCAGCGGCCAGGGGGAATCGATGCAATTCCCAGGTTCCAGGTCCATGAGAGGAGCTCTCGGGCAGCAGGTGAGAAAAGGGGAACATCAGGGAATTCAGGGAATTCAGGGAATTCAGGTCCCACCCAGCCTCACAGCAGGGACATTTTTGTCCAGTCCCGGCTCCCAGTCCCAGGAAAATCGTGAGGAAAACCTGGAGAAATGAGGAATTCTTGGATGAGGCTCTCAGGCCGTGACATCTTTCTTAGAGCTGCTTTTAAAGCTCGTGATTTATAGAGCGCAATTAGCAGAGTGTTAATTATCCCCGCTCGTAATCTTAATTGATCCCGAGCAGGAGGTGGCGGGGGGAGAACAGAAGCGCCGGAGAACCGGAGGTGACACATCCTGGGACAGTTCGGGGACACTCGGGGTTTTTGGGTGTGGGACATCCCTGTCCTGTCCTGTCCTTCCTTCACCTCGGACTTCCCAGGGTCCAGCCGGGGTCAGGGTCACTCCCAGCCCCTTTTTGGGGACAGGGACCCCCCCCGGGTCAGGGGGTGTCCAGGCTGGGCTGTGCCCGGCGGCTCCTTCCCAGCTTCAAAGCTTTGAGCTCCCTCTTGAGGCTCTTCCTGCCCCCAAATGTTGGGATTTTGGGGAGCCTGAGGTGCGGGATGCTCTGGGGTGAGAGCTGCACCCCAAGTGACACCGCTGAGCTCTGTCCCTGTCCAGGACACGGCAAAGGGACAGAGATGGCGTCACCAGGAGCTGCTTTGGGGACTCGGAGCCAAGTCCCAGGGACTGCCACCACCCCCTCCCGCTTTCCAAAAATGCTGGAAACGAGCCTGGAGCCAAACTGCTGCTGCTGCCAAGGCCAACACGGCGGGATTTCAAAATAGCCCCGTGTCCTGCAGGGCTCCGGCCGGAGCCGAGGGTGCCACCCACGCGGGAAGGGACAGCGAGGGACAGCCAGAACTGCTAATCCAGCAGACGGAAAGGTCACCTCGGTCCGGATCCCACCCCAGCGCGGTGCCCCAGTGTCCCCCCGTGTCCCCTCGTGTCCCCCCGCGTCCCCTCGTGTCCCCTCGTGTCCCCTCGTGTCCCCTCGTCCCGTCCCCGGAGGAATTCCAGGAGCTCTCCCGCAGCACGGGGTCTTTCCCAAGGTGTCGGGTGGCCCGTGGGGTGAATTTTCCTGATTTAATCCCGCTTGAAACCTCCCCGATTCCCAGGGGAAGGCGCTGGCGGGGCAGATCCCGAAGGAAAAGGCGATTCCGCTTCCCAGGATATTTATAAGGCATGGGAAACTCGTGGGGGGGTCCCAGGGGCCGGTTCGAGGGTCCTTTCTCAGCCTTGCGGGACTGGGAACGTTCCGGGAGCTCCGTGCGGGACAATCCCAAAGGAGCCGCCGCTCCCGGGGGATGCGGGATGGGGGAACCGCCGCGGAATTCCCACCACACCCACCGGGGGACCGGGGGGTCAATCCCGGGGTTTTCCCACGGAAGAGCAGGGCTGGGAATGGGGGGAGCCAGCCGGTGTCCGTCTGTCCGTCCGTCCTCAGTCCCCACCTCCGCTCCTGCTCCCTCCACCCCCGGGAGGCTCCCGGGGCCCCACCGGGGGCGGAGGCAGGACCGGCCCGCCCCGGCGGACACCGCGGAACGGAGGCGCTCCCGTTCCCGATTCCCGTTCGCGGTTCCCATTCCCGATTCCCTACTCGGAACCCCGCGGTTGCCCCGGTTCCCGTTCCCGGTTCCCGTTCCCGGTTCCGTTCCCGGTTCCCACTCCCGGTTCCGTTCCCGGTTCCGTTCCCGGTTCCCATTCCCGGTTCCCATTCCCGGTTCTCGTTCCCCGGTTGCCGGTCCCGGTCCCGCCATGCCCTCCGCGTACCCGCAGCGAGCCCTGACGGTTCTGCTGCTCTTCGGGACCTTGTCCGCTGCCATGGCCCTGCTCTCCTCCAGCCTCATCTTCCAGCTCCCGTCGGGCCGGGCCGCCGCCGGTACCGGGGCGCTCCCGGAGCCGGTGGCCGCCGCTCTGCTGCCGGTATCGGCCGTGCTGGCCGCGCTCTGCCTGGTGCTCAACGTGAGCTGCCTCCTGCTCTGCCTCCTGCACGGCTACTGCAGCACCGAGCTGTGCCGGGGACAGCCCGGGAGCGAGCGGTGAGAGCCGCGGGGCCACCGGGGAACCGGGGGGCTCGGGAGAGCCGGGGAACCGGGGCTGGGGAGAGCCGGGGAACCGGGACTGGGGAGAGCCGGGGAACCGGGGCTCGGGAGAGCCGGGGAACCGGGGCTCGGGAGAGCCGGGGAACCGGGACTGGGGAGAGCCGGGGAACCGGGGCTGGGGAGAGCCGGGGAACCGGGACTGGAAGAGTCGGGGGGCTCGGGAGAGCCGGGGAGCGGGGCTGGGGGGCCGGGAGAGGTGGGGATGCTCCGAGGGGTCTGGGGGATGGACTGGAGGGGTCTGGGGGGCTCAGAAGGGTCTGAGGGGGCTCGGAGGGGTCT